CGATCCAGCCTGGGTCTGCTGAACAACAATGACAACTACAACTAAAAATTAGCCGGGCGTTCTGGTGGGCACCTGTAGTCCCAGCTACTCAGGTGGCCAAGGCATGAGAATTGCTGAAGCCCAAGAGTTTGAGGTTGCTGTGAGCCGTTGATGCCATGGCACTCTACACAGGGCAACATAGTGAGACTCTATCTCAAAAACAAAAAAACAAAAAAACAAAAAAACAAAAAAAACATTGGGAAATGGATATGAATGAAACTTTTCTCATGAGGACAGATGAATGGCTAACCCACACATGAAAAAATGTTCATTATCGCTAATAATCAGTGATATGCAAATCAAAACCACTTTGAGGTATCCCCTAAACCCTATTGAGAATGACCTTCATCACAAGGTCCCAAAGCAACAGATGCTGGTATGGGACTGCATGTTGACGGGACTGCAAACTAGTACAGCCTGGGTGGAAAGAAGTATGGACATTTCTTAAAGTACTAAAAGTAGAACTACCATTTAGTCCCTCAATCCCATTACTAGGTATCCATCCAACAGAAGAAATGTCATTTTACCATAAGGACATTTGTACCCAAATGTTCAGAGCAGCATAATTCACCGTTGCAAAGATGTGGAAATCACCTAGGTGACCTTCGATATATGAATGGATTAATCAACTGTGTTATATGTATACCATGGGACACCAGTCAGCCATAATAAGATTTTGTGTCTTTTATAACAACCTGGATGGATTTGGAGAACATGCTCCTAAGTGAAGTATCACAAGAATGGAAAAACGAGCGACACATGTACTCAGTACTTAATTAAAACCAGTAGATTTAACAACTGCATGTGACGGGAAAACTCAAACTCAGGCTCAAGTTAAGGGAGAAGAGGAAGGAGTTGAGTAAATTTCCTCCCAGTACACTTGTATCGGACACTGCTTGTGTGAGGGGCACAACCTTCCAGACTCTAACCTTACAAAAGCAAACGATGTAATCTAATCATGTGTCTCCATATTAATCTGAAATAAAAAATTTTAAAAATGCCCTTTGCACTGAAACCCGAGAGGTGAACATAAAGGTTTTGAGGTGGGAAAGAACTTGGCAGTTGGGTGTGTTTGAGGAAAAAGCAAAGGAGGTAGCCGAGCAGAAGCAGAATGAGTAAGAGACAAAGCGATGAGAGTTTAAGTTGGAGAAGTAGGTCAGATTTTACAACACTTCGTGGATCACAGTAAGAGGGTTATTAACCAGACTCTTCACAAGGCCCCGGCAGGACATTAGCACAAAAAGGGGAAGTCCGAAGAATCTGAAATGGGGAAGACTGGCATGACAATTGCAAGTGTGAGTGGGAGCTTTTGATGACACTGAGAAAGTCACATCCTGAGAACTGCTTACATTATACTATTTAAGTTTAGGGACATTGCTTTCCTATCCATGCAATCAGTGCCAGGTGACTACTAAGCAGCAGTTTGTGATCCCGATGATACAGCTTCTCAGTCTTACGTGATGAAAATGCTATACAAACAGAAAATAACAACCACCAGAAAATATCCTTACAACAACCTTGTGAGCTAGGTTTTATTATTCTTCTTTTCCAGGTGAGAAAATCTAAGGTCAATGAAATTAAGACACATGTTAAAGTCTCCAGCTACTAAGTAGCTAGCCCAAAACTTGAAAGCAGGGGCTAGATCTCCATTCCGTTCTCCTGGATGACACCTTGGGAAAATCTCCTAAATCTCTTCTATGTTATTTTGTAATGATTAAAACTCGAATCCAGTCCAAACCAAAACTTCATTTTCATATCTTATTTAAAGCTTCCCCCCCTCTCTGTCAGGCAGTTGAAAATTTGTGTGTAGCCTGTACTTTCACTCTTTTTGTTCTCTAGTCTTAATCTGCTGTTTCTAGGTCTCCTCCAGGGTGGGGGAGTTTGAGAGAAGGAAGAGAAGTAGGAGGGATTGTAAGAAAAAAGGGGAAGGTCTCTTACGTGACGAATGACCTCAGAGGCAGAATCAAGGTACTGGGTCTTTCTCGTAGGGAGTGTTTGAGTTTTTTTTTTTGCAGTTTTTGGCCAGGGCTGGGTTTCAACCCACCACCTCTGGCACATGGGGCCGGTGCTATTCCTTTGAGCTACAGGTGCCATCCTGTTTATGAGTTCTTTAGAGGCTCTACCTATGGACCTCAAGATCCTCCTTCAGCAGCTGCCTCCTGAATTTCACACTTCCGGACTCTTATTACTGGGTCTCCTCTAGCAGGTGATCCTATTGAATAGGCTTCTTCAAGAATATTTTGAATAATCTACCTATAAATGTCTTGCCATACTAAACATGGTTAGTGGAGCTGCCTGTTGCTGCCCTTCCTCATTGTCTTATTGTAGAGAGAGTATGCTGACCATGTTCCCTAATTCAGAATTCTGTAGGCCAGAAGCAGGTAACTGTCCTTATAATTGTTCATGAAGGCTCCAGCTTCTAGAGAGACATGTCCAGTTCACCTCAAAATTCTCATTATGTGCGAGGCATGGTGTCTCATGCCTGCGATCCTAGCACTTTTGGAGGCTGAGGGGGAGGAATGCTTGTGGCTAGGAGTTTGAGACTAGTCTGAGCACAAGTGACATATTGTCTCTACAAAAAAAAAAAAAAATTAGCCAGGTGTGTGGTGTGCCTATAGTCCCAGGAAGCTGAGGCAGGAGGATCACTTGAGACCAGGAATTTGAGGTTGCAGTGAGCTATGATGATGTTACTGGACTCAAGCCCACGTGACAGATACCCTGTCTCAAAAAAAAAAAAAAATCAAAAAAGAAACAACAAAAACCCCTCTCTGGATCATGGTTGCACAGAGAAATAAGACTCACCAGCTTAGAAGAAAGATCTGGCAGGCACTTCTGGTCTTTTATAGTACCCCCTCTTTGTAGTGAAGTGAGCACTATGATTTCTTCTAATAAATTCTTTTTGAATTTTTATGTCTCCCTAATTGAAGCTGGAGATAGAGAAAGGTTAAAGGTCTAGCTGCTTCTTAGCAAGTTTTTTGGATAGTTACTAACAACTGTTCTTTAGAAGTTGAAAATAGTCATGGCTTGTTTTCAGCTTAGGAGTTTTACAGTCCATTAACATTCTGACACAATATTATTAATTGCACACCAGATTGGGAATAGGGAAATGCTTTTTTTTTTTTTTTAACAAAGAAAGGCTCAGTTTTACACTGAGATTCATGGACTCTATGAATTGGGAGAAATTTAGAAGCCATATAATCCAACTTCCCACCAAAGTCATGAATACTGTTTACAATGATTTGATGAGATGTTATTCAGTTTTCATTTGAACACACCTAGGAATTAGGAAGGCATTCCCTAACTCTCAGATCTCAGCTCTTTCTTTTTTTTTTTTTTTTTTGAGACAGAGCCTCAAGCTGTCCCCCTGGGTAGAGTGCCATGGCATTACAGCTCATAGCAACCTCCAACTCCTGGGCTCAAGCGAGTCTCCTGCCTCTGCCTCCCAAGTAGCTGGGACCACAGGCGCCCGCCACAACGCCCGGCTATTTTTTTTGGTTGCAGCCATCATTGTTGTTTGGCAGGTCCGGGCTGGGGATTCGAACCCGCCACCTTAGGTGTACGTGGCTGGCGCCTTAGCCGGTTGAGCTATAGGCGCCGAGCCAGCTCTTTCAATCACTATTTGAGCTTCACCAAATCACTTAAACTGTTCCTCATCTATTAAGGAAGTAAAAACATCTTTACAGAACATTGTTGGGAGGATAAAAAGAGATAGATATATAAATTCCCTAATCCTTTCACAGAGGAGTGCAATGTTGGTTCCCTTTACAGGTCCTTTTACGGGACAGCATATTTCATTTTTGGGATCGTCATCACCTAGAGAAAGATCTTCCTTATATTGACCTGTACAGTTTTAGTACCTTCCTTAAGTTTAACACTAAGTAGTCACATAAAATGTCCTTTTTCCTTTCCACATGGCACCTTCACAGATACCTGTGATTTTAGTTGAAGGAACTGGAGATATTAGAAATCTGGTTTTTCTTTTTTTGAGCCAGGAGCTGGGGTAAGTCTTCTGTGTGCCGCCTAAGAGGTATTTATTGAATGAATTGGGCAAAGATATTTCATTTTATAATGTTCAGCATCATCCCAAGATTGAATGGGCTGCTTTGTTTTTTTGAGACAAAGTCTCACTATATTGCCCTGGGTAGAGTGCCGTGGCGTTCAGCTCAAACTCTAGGGCTTAAGAGATTCCCTTGCCTCATCCTCCTAAGTAGCTGGGCCTACAGGCGCCTGCCACAACACCCGGCTATTTTTTGTTGTTGCAGTTGTCATTGTTGTTTAGCAGGCCGGGGTTTCCAGCCCTTGTGAATGTGGCTGGTGCCTCAACCACTGAGCTACAGGAGCCGAGCCTGAATGGGCTGCTTTGGAAAGACAGTTTTCTCAGACACTGGTGGGCTTTATCACAGGCTAGCTAGCATTCGGTAGAATTCAAGCCTGGAATGTATGTGTGTGTGTGTGTGTGTGTGTGTGACACAAGTGTTGTTAGACACCTGAATGCATTTGCTTGGTGCCATTCTTTGTCTACTACATAGCGAGCTCTTTATAAGGTCACTTACTGCCTCAAATGAATTGGTTAAACTGGAAGCTACAAAGAAAGTCACACAGCTGCTTCTCCCCCGCCTCCCCTCCCCCGCCTTTTTACAGCTGACAAAGAGCTTTCAGTCAGTCCCTGCCCGGCTACTCAAAACGTCCCCTTAAGGGTGAACAAGGGGACTAGAAAGGAAGAAGCCTCTTCTGAGTTGGCTGAGACTAACTTTGGGCTCCTGTACTTGGGCAGGGCCTCGTCTTCTCGCGGGCGGGCCGCTAGGCGGCGCTGAGGCGCTCGCCGCCCACCTGCCCGGCGCTCCCGTTCTCGCCGTCACCCCTCGGTCCCCGCCCGGTCGAGAGACTACAATTCCCGGAGTGCTCCGGGGATGGCGGAGCCGGGGGCCGCGGCGGGGAGGGACGCGAGGGCGGGCTTTCCGGCTGTGTGTTTCCGGCGTCGGCGGCCGTGGCCGGGGACGGTGTGAGAGCGGTAAGATGGCGGCGGCGGCGGTGGTGGAGTTCCAGAGAGCCCAGTCTCTACTCAGCACTGACCGGGAGGCCTCCATCGACATCCTCCACTCCATCGGTAAAGGTCGCCGCGCCGCCGGCCTGCCCGCGCTGGCCCCGCTCGGCCCGTGTCGGTCGGCGGCAGCGGACAGGGGCCGGGCTGGCCAGCTCCGGGGCTGCTGACTCACTGTGTGTGTGAGGGGGGCCGGGCCGGGGGCACAGGCCGCTGGGAGCTCCCCGGAGCGCCCGGGGTCCCACTCGGATGGGGAGCCCCCAGGCGACTCCTGTGTCCACTCGCCGGCTGCTGACTCACGGTGGGGTCAGCGTGGGGTGGGACAGTGGGCCGAGTGGGGACCACCACCCCTGCCCAGCCTTGTTCCTGGCTCTGGCCCGCACGAGCTGGCCGGGACCGGGGAGCAGTGCCTGCCGGCAGACTTATCACAGACTGGGCGAGAATCTCCGGGGGAAAGGCCCTGGCGAAACCCGCGCGGGATGGGCATTTCCCGCCGTTGTTATCAGCACAGCCTGGTTGGGGTGGGAGCGCTCGCGCTCGCTTCTCCTGGAGTTTCCTTCCACGGGACGCGGGGAGCTGCTACTTCTCCCCGGACCCCAGCGGAAGGCTCCGCTGAAGGAGGGCCGCTTTCCGAGTTTGGGAAATTCGGGGATGACACGCTTCACGTTGGCATTGGGTTTGAAAGGTGGCCGAGACATTCCTCTGCCCCGCGTGGAGTGTGAGAGTAGGATGTTGTGGTGGGACTGACTGCCCGGCTACAGGAGGTGACCAGTGGTGCCAGTCTTCCCTGCAGGGTGTTGGAAGTTAGTTCAGGGAGTTAGTTGTCAGCCCGCGGAGTTCAGGAAACTCTTTGGAACCGTCCCGTTGCACATTGCTGGAGAAAATTAAAGGAAATTTTCTTGACACTCGCAGTATGGTTGTCTTACACCTGTACGCAACAGGAAATGGGAGCCCCAGCCAGTCGCTTCTGACAGCTTTCTACTGGATTTGGGGCTTGAATGTATGATGACAGAGAAGGCTATTAATGTTCATTCATAAAGGATTCGGTTAGAGCACGGACGGGCTCTTTACCGCCCATGAAGTAATGTGATGTTTTTAATATAGTTTGAGAAGATTTGAATTGTATCAACAAGTAGTATGAGAATGCACTTGTATCCACTTCCAGGATGTTGACATTTATGTTGACCTGCTCAGTCTGTTGAATTTTGGTACTCCAGACTTGCAGAGAAAAGACAATGACCAGACAACTGATGTCTTTACTTTGGGGAGCTAGGGAAGGAGAGGAGGTGGGGGTCAAGATGCATCTTTGAGTGAATGATAATTGGTAAGGGGTGTTTCATTTTGAAGTTCTGATCTTTCTTCAGATACATTTACAGAATCAGAATTACCTCTGTTACTGTTATTCTGAGTACACACTAGTATTTAGAACTAATGTGAGAAGCCTGAACTTTAATTTTTTTTTTTTTTGCAGAGAGCCTACCAGTTTGTCTTTCATAAAGTAGAAATTATGTTAAACATTAATAATAGTTCGAGTATTTCTTGCTTGCTAAGTATATTGGGAGAGTTCCTGAAAACTTCCCTGTTAAGGCAAGCATGAGTCAGGGTGGTTGACAGCCTTAACTTTTTTGGGACTCCATCATGGAGTATCAGAACCTTGGTTTTTGTCAAGTCATGTTGCTTTGCAAGAGGAGTAATAATGATGATCACTAAAATTATCATTACAGACTTGGACAGGCAATTCAGTGTTTTCATGTTAGAATAGTTACAAACTGTTGAAAGTGGGACAGACAGTACAAAGTTATTTTAACAGGACCCAAGTCCATTTTAAAGCAGCATTGTCTCTTAAGTGTAACTGTTCAGGATCACATTGGGGTTTTGATAGGGTTGTGTTTCCGGAATGGCTTTATAGAACTGCTTATCCCTAGCACATCCATAGACTGAGGCTTTGCACAGACCTAGAGTTTTCTGAAAGGCTTTTGAGACTTTATAGTCATCAGCAGCTTGGTCATTTGATTTTAGTTTTTGGAAGGTATATGCACAGCCATGTTTAATATCTTCACGTTATAGTGATTAGTGTGGTTGTTAGTGCCATAAGTATGAAGGGTCTATTTTATTTTAATTTTGCTTTAACCAAGTGACTACAACAGACATTTGGTGTATGTGGATAAGCAGAATTCTGATGGACAGAATGAAAAGGCACATTTGAAATCAAAGAGAAGAATCCATTTTTTATGATTTATGTAAGACATGTCCTACATTTACTTGACCATTTATTTTTTCTTGTTCATAGATTTTTTTCTTTTAAAGCTCTTTTGAGTTAGTCTTTTGGTATATATGTTTGGGTTTGTAATGGGTCTTATGAGGGTGAAGTTTCCCACGGTCTTCACTTTTTTGTCAGAATTTTAAGAGGATTTGCATTTTCCTCTCCCAGTGAAGCGTGACATTCAAGAAAATGATGAGGAGGCAGTGCAGGTCAAAGAGCAGAGCATCCTGGAACTGGGGTCTCTTCTGGCGAAGACTGGACAAGCTGCAGGTAAGTGCTACAAACAGATTGTATCTGAAATGCTGGATGAAGTTACTGGTTTTTGTTGGAGCGAAAGAACAGAGGATTGTATCCACAAACTCAGTTCATTGATGTTATAATTCAGTTTTATTTTCTTGGCAACTTTTTGAACATTTAAACATTCAGTTTTTTTAGCAAAAAGTTAAGATGCCTTTAAACTCATTTCTTTCATGGTCAAGTTTGTTCTGCAGATGAAGGAAAATCATATTTTTATTGGGATATAGTGATTTGTGATTCTGGATTTTGAGTTTTCACTGTATTCCATTATGTACAGGCAGCAGCAGTCTTCAGTGATTTCCCTGAGCAGTGCTGATGTGTTTAAGGGGGATAGTGACTTTAGGCCCATAATTTGAAAATGACTAGGGATTTTTCATCTAAGTGACTCATTGTCTTTTTTTTTCTGATACAGAATGAGTAAGACATTAAATGGAGCTTTCCCAAGACTTCTCTACTGCTACCTAGGACTTTGTGCATATTGTTGCCCAGACACTCTAGTTGTAATTGAACCATTAACTGGCCAGACTCTAGATGATATTCTGATGATGGGTGTGTCCATGGAATGGGGAGGGAGTCCTGTTGACTAGGAAGGACTTTTTATTACTAAGGTAGTACTAGTATTTAGAGAGAAGTCTGCTTAAACTTAAAATAGGTGATTTTTGTCAGCTTTAAAGTGAATTTGGAATTTATTTGATTAGAATGGATTAAGTTCTGGCAAGTAACCTCATGAGTTACTTTCCCCTAAATAATGTTGTTATTCCATAGAGTGATTGGGATTAGTTAGCAAAACTTCTTGAACTTGGGAACTAAAGATCTTTTCTAGTTAAAGATAAGAAATTTATTTATTTATTTATTTATTTTGGAGACAGAGTCTCACTTTGTCCCCTCAGTAGAGTGCCATGGTGTCGTAGCTCACAGCAACCTCAAACTCTTGGGTTCAGCCTCCCAAGTAGCTGGGGCTATAGGCACCTGCCACAATGCCTGGCTATTTCCAGAGATGAGCTCTCGCTCTGGCTCAGGTTGGTCTCGAACCTGTGAGCTCAGGCAATCCACCTGCCTCAGCCTCCCAGAGTGCTAGGATTACAGGTGTGAGCCACCTTGCCTGGGCCTAATTTATTAATTATCAGGCACAATAAATAGAAAGTTGAATAGAGATTTATGAAATTGTGAGGATATGGTTATGTGGGTCTTGTATCTTATTTAAAATAATATTTTTAAGTAGACATAAAAACTACACCTAAGGGTTTTTGAGTGCTAACTACAAACTAGTTATTTTTTTAAGCATATCACATGGATCCTTGAAACAACTTGAGGGTGTGCTCTCACCTAGCAGGCACAATGTAGGGTATATGGCATCTTCCTGGTGAGGGGACAGGTACAACTTGTAACCTCAAAAAAAAAACCAACAACTTGTGACCTCATCATTTGTACCCTCATACTAAACTGAAATTAAAAAAAAAAAACAAAAACAACAACAAAGAACTTGAAGTTGATACTCTTACCCTTTTTACCCATGAGGAAACAGAGCACTGAAAAGTTAACTTACCCAAGCTCATTCAACTAGTAACTGGAAACTCATGTAGTCCCACTTCAGAGTTCATAGCCGCATGGCATCTTGGTTATTGCTTTTCTTTTTTTTTTTTTTTGAGACAAGCCTCAAGCTGTCCCCCTGGGCAGAGTGCCGTGGCATTACAGCTCACAGCAACCTCCAACTCCTGGGCTCAAGCGAGTCTCCTGCCTCCACCTCCCAAGTAGCTGGGATCACAGACGCCCGCCACAACGCCCGGCTTTTTTTTGGTTGCAGCCATCATTGTTGTTTGGCGGGTCCGGGCTGGGGATTCGAACCCGCCACCTTAGGTGTACATGGCTGGCGCCTTAGCCAGTTGAGCTATAGGCACCGAGCCGGTTATTGCTTTTCTACAGTCATCTACTTTAGATTATTACTAGTAGGTGATGGCTTTTTCATCTTACTCTGACTTTCCTTCTCTTTAACATGTTTGGAATGCTTTTGCCTGGCGGTTAATCCGAGCTTAGGGCTTCTAAAACAGTTTTGATAATGAGTTTGTGCAAAATATAATTAATAAGGTAATTTTTCTGAATTATAACATCTGGTGAAGTGATTTAAGATTTTTATTTTTTGAGACACAGTCTTGCTCTGTCACCCTGAGTAGAGTGCCATGGCCTCAGCCTGGCTCACAGCAGCCTCAAATTTCTGGGCCCAAGCAATCCTCCTGCCTCAGCCTCCTGAATAGCTGGAACTACAAGGTGTGCACTACCATATGTGGCTAATTTTTCTGTTTTAGTAGAGCTAGGGGTTGGGGTGGGGGATGTCTTGATTTGCTTAGGCTGATCTCAGACTCTGGAGCTCAAATGATCCTTTACCTTAGCCTCCCAGAGTACTAGGATTATAGGTGTAAGCCACTGAGCCCTTAAGATTTTTCTGTTGTTGAAATATCCAACTTTCTACTTTCCTTCACTGGCATGGATAATTAAAAACAATGTGTAGCATATAGTCAGTGCTTCAGTAATTTTCTTTCTTTATCTTTCTTTCTTTCTTTCTTTTTTTTTTTTTTTGGGACAGAGTCTCACTTTGTTGCCCTCAGTAGAGTGCTTTGGCAACATAGCTCACAGCAACCTCAGACTCCTGGGCTCAAGCAATTCTCTTCCCTCAGCTTCCCAAGTACCTGGGAGTACAGGTGCCTGCCCCAATGCCTGGCTATTTATTTAGAGATAGGGTCTCACGCCTGCTCAGGCTGGTCTCGAACCTGTGAGCTCAGGGCAGTCCACCTGCCTCAGTCTTCCAGAGTGCTAGGATTACAGATGTGAGCCACCATGCCCAGCCCACTTTAGTAATTTTCATCCAAAAATGTTGTCCTGTGTTAGGCTTATTCTACCTTTATTTCTTGTCTTGTCTGCCTTGTGACTCAATACATGAGAAAGTTAGAAGTATGTTGCTAAATCTATTGAACTTTAATAGATGAATTATAAATATTGTCAAAAACTTTTTCATGTTATTATTAGTGTTTTCTAAGAAAGTTTGATGAATGTAGATGTCCACAATAGAAGCCCCAAGGAAGTCTTGGAGCCTATTTTGCTTTTAATAATTGATACGTTTGGCTCGGCGCCTGTGGCTCAATCAGCTAAGGTGCCAGCCACATACACCTAAGGTGGCGAGTTCGAATCCCCAGCCCGGGCTTGCCAAACAACGATGGCTGCAACCAAAAAATGGCCGGCGCTGTGGCGGGTGCCTGTAGTCCCAGCTACTTGGGAGGCTGAGGCAGGAGACTCGCTTGAGCCCAGGAGT